GTAGTGGTTTCTTGAATGAAACTTCCTTCTTTAATTTATGAACTTCCATTTTTATTATTATTCCACTTCCATTTTAATCAATTTCATTTTTCTATCAATTTCCTTTTTTATTTTAATTGTCCAAAATAGATCGTTAAGGTATATGTGGTTTCTTGATTTACCACCATTGTTTTAATTATTATGTTAGTTTCCATTTCAATTTTTATTCAACTTCTATTATTTATTTCGTTATCTCCATTCAACTTTCCTTCTTTAATTAATTCCAAATAGATTGTTAAGGATAGTGGTTTCTTGGAATAACATCCATGTTAATTTTATACAGTTATCCATTTCTATTTTTATTCAATCTATTTTTATTCAGTTTTTATCTCCATTCAATTTCCTTTTTTTTTTAATTTCCAAATATAGTTGGTTTCTTGAATGAACTTCCAGTTTACATTTTATGGCAAACTTCCATTTGTATTTTATTTCATTTTTCCTTTTCTATTTCTATTTCCTTTTTTATTTAAATTCAAACAGATCGTTAAGGTTAGTTAAGTGGTTTCATGAATGCAACTGCCATGTTAATTTTACTGCAGTTCTCCATTTTCTATTTTTTTATTCAACTTCTATTTTTATTAAATTTCCATCTCCCTCAATTTCCTGGTTTAATTTAATTTCCCAAATATGATCTTTAGGTATAGTGGTTTCTGAACGAATTTCTATGTTTTAATTTTAGCAGTTTCCACATCTATTTTTATTCAAGTTCTATTTTTATTCAATTTCCATCTCCATTCAATTTCGTTTTTTCTTTTAATTTCCAAATAGATCGATAAGGTATAGTGTTCTTGATTGAATTTCCGGTTTAATTTCCTTACAGTTTCCACTTCTTATTTTTATTCGATTTTCATCTCCATTTCAATTTCCCTTTTTATTTCAATTCCAAATATTATCATTAAGGTATTAGGGTTTCGTTTTTAATGACTTCATTTTTAATTTTATGCAACTTCCATTTATTTTTATTTCAACCCTATTCCATTTTTATTTCAATTTCCCCTTTTCTATTGAATTTCCTCTTTTTATTTAGTTTCCAAATTAGATCGTAAGGTGTTAGTGGTTTTTTGAATGAACTTCCATGTTTAATTTTATGTAGTGTCCATTTTCTATGTTATTCAATTTCCATATCCGTTCTCAATTTCTTTTATTAATTTCCAAATTAGATCTTTAAAGGTTATTACTGGGGTTCTTGAATGAATTTCCAATGTTTAATTTTAATGCAGTTTCCAACTTTCTAATTTTTATTAACATTCTTTTATTCATTTCATATCTCCATTCAATTTTCCCTTTTTTATTTAATTCCAAATAGATATTTAAGGTAATATTAGTGTTTTTTGAATGATTTTCCATGGTTTAAATTTTTTGCAGTTTCCACTTCTATTTTTATTGAACTTCTTTTAATCTCCATTCAATTTCCTTTTTTTATTTAATTTACAAATAGATCGTTAAGGTATAGTGGTTTCAATGAACGAACATATAAATTTTATGCAGTATCATTTCTTATTTATTTCAAACTTCTATTTTTATTTAAATTTCCATCTCCATTCAATTTCCAATGATCGTTAAGGTATTGTGGTTTCTTGAATGAATTTCCATGTTTAATTTTTTATGCGTTTCCACTCTCTATTTTTATTCAACTTCTATTTTTTTTAATTTTCCATCTCCATTCAATTTTCCTTTTTTTATTTAATTTCCAAAATAGATCTTTAAGGTATAGGGGTTTCTTGAATGATTATCCATGTTATTTTATGCGGTTTCCACTTCTATTTTGATTCAACTTCTTATTTTATTCCAATTTCCATCTCCATTCAATTTTCCTTTTGGTTGTTTAATTCCAAATATATCGTTAAGGTAAGGGGGATTTCTTGAATGAACTTTCAGTTTTAATTTTATGCAACTTCTATTTTATTTTTTATTCAACTAACATTTTAATTCAATTTTTCCTTTCTATTGAATTTCCTTTTTTAGTTTTTAAATTTCCAATTAGATCGTTAAAGGTGTATAGTTTCTTGAATGAATTTCCATGTTTAATTTTATCGACTTCCATTTTTTATTTATTCCACTTTTCATTTTTGTTCAATTTCCTTTTCTATTCATTCTTTTTTTTAAATTTTAATTTTCCAAATAGATTGTAATATATAGAGGTATTCTGGATGTGAACTTCCATTTTAATTTTATGCAAACTTCCATTTTTATTTTTATTCCACTTCCATTTTTATTCAATTTCGTTTTTTCTATTCAATTTCTTTCTAATTTAATTTCCAAATAGGATCGTTAATGTATAGTGGTTTCCTTTTGGGGGGGGGAATGAACTTCCATTTTTAATTTTTCCAGTTTCATTTTTTATTCAATTCTTTTTCTATTGAATTTTCCTTTTTATGTACTTTCGATAGATCGTTTTAAGGGTACTGTGTTCTTTGAATGAACTTCCCATTTTCAAATTTATGCAACTTCCATTTTTTTTTTATTTTCACTTCCGTTTTTTATTCAGTTTCCTTTTCTATCAGTTCCTTTTTTGGTATTTGATTCCAAAGAATCGTTAAGTACAGTGATTTCTTTTGAATGAACTTCCATGTTTAATTTATGCAGTTTTCCATTTCATGTTTTTATTAACTTCTATTTTATTCAATTCCATCCCATTCAATGTCCTTTTTTTTTTTTTAGAAGTATGTATTAATTTTTTTCCATTGAATGCTTGGACCTGATATCCGTGTTGTTTATCAGCTCCTCAGGAAATTAATGAGTATGAACTTGTTGATCCTGTTGATATATTGACTCTTTTAGAGAAGACAGGATTTTAGGATGGAGTGGTAAGTCCTCTCAATCTTTTTTTCATGTTATTCACTGACTTTTAACTTTGTGCTTCTAGTTTGTAATTGTGCTCTCTGATTAATGTGAGGAAAATCCAATTTATTAGCTTTCCTCTTTAACTATGTGAAGCTTAAACCAGGTGAAGCATTGTATCTAGGGGCAAATGAAGTCCATGTAGGCTAACATGGTGAGTGTCTTGAATGCATGGCAACTTCAGACATTGTTGTGCGTGCTGGCCTAACTCCAAAGAACCGGGATGTCCAAATTCTTTGTTCCATGCTCACATACAAACAGATGAGGATATTTTTCATTGAAAAATGTTCTGTTTGTTTGGTGGTTCTTGCTCCTTCTATTTTTTTTTTTTCCTTTTTTAATATTAAACCTAACTAATTCATGAGGCCTCTAGTTCATAAAACCCTTTAATATCCAAGTGTGCTTTCCTTTTTAATATAAGATGCCAGAAATTAGATGCCCTGCCAAATTGACTGTATGGGTGGGCAAAACATTTTTCTTGTTATAGCATAAAGAAGGACAATCTACCTCCAAAATAGCTACTTTCATGCCTGTTTATATTCCCCACTTTCCATTCTTTTTGTCCACTAATGCCTTTTGGCATATTCCAATATTGTTGTCCATTTTTAAAAGAAAGGTATTTTATTTTGCATTTTACAATATCATTATTTTTGGATGAGTATGAATGCATTTACCAAACCGAAACAAATTAAACCTTGTGTCTCAATCAAGTGGGGGTGGCTACATAATTTTTTTTTTTTTTGTGGTCATTTAGCTCTATCAAAGTTTGTATGTTCTGTTAAATTAAATAAATTTATATTTTCTTTGATTGTGGTGAGTATGCATCAGATGTCAGCTCAAGTCTTCCATGTTAAGTAGTTCTCTCTCAACTTGTTTTCAATAAATGCTATTCCTACCATTTCATGAATATATTCATTTCTAATCTGTCTTTTTTAGTTTTACCACAAATCTATCCAAAGCATTCTCATCTCAGTTGCCCAACACTTTCTTCTATTATGCAGAATTGCTGGCCTTCTATTGAGTATGAATGCATTTAATAGAGTAAAATAGAGGGATGGTTTTGGAAATTCAGACTATATTAGTTGGTTATGAACAGAGTCAATGCATATCCCCTTAAAAATTGTATGTAATCAGCGGCTTATTAAATACAACCACATCACCCGCATGTTTTTGTGTGCACATGTAGATGCAACTTCTTCTTAAACACACTTTTATACTATTCTCGAGAAGTTAACAGAGACTGGTGGATGACTATGAATGTGCATTGCGACAATTGGGTCATTAATCATTACATTGGATTCCAACCTCAAGTATGCAGTTGTTCCCTACTGAAACAGCGAAATGCAGAAATTGCTCTCTTCATTTTTACATTTTCAAAACTAGACTTTGCAAATGTTGTGCCCTCTTTCTATTGGCTTCTTGTGCATTGCTGATGTTGCGACTTTTTGGCAATTTACTAGTTTTAAGTTTCACTTCACCAGTGTGAAAGATATTGTTTAATTGTCTTGGTTGGGTTAGTCTGTTCTCTATTGTCATTGCATGATTTGATATTTTGTTTGTGTACCACAGATTTTTACAGACACACCATCATGCTTAAATCTGAGATGTGGTTATCTTGCTAGTAAATATATGCACATGCGCTTATGTTGATTTGATATGGACTTCACTGACATTTAGAACCTGGAGTAATTGGAATTGATTGATATTTACTTCCATTTTGGGGAATCCTTTTTATTTTTAATCCTCCAGAATTTATCATTTCATGGTAATTTGATGACCAATATATTTACATTGCGCCATTTAATTTATCATGATTTTTTTTTGATTGTTTAAAAGTCTCTGTGGTTGAGGTATTCACAGGTTTAGTCTTCTACGGTAGGAGATGAATATTTAAAGTGTATTATCATATGGAATTTCAGTAGGTTGGTTGTTACAGTACAATTTTGTTGTTGATGGAAACTTGAGGGTCCAATTGTCTTCTAATTTTGATTGTGATATCATTAAGCGACTTTTTCTTATCTTTTAACTGATTGATCTTTGAAATATAAAGGACGATGTTAAGTATATATACATATATGTATTTATATAGACATTGTAACTTACATTGGCATCTAATGTAGGTGCGTTTGATTGGGTATTGCGTAGAGGGCTCTCTTTTTCTAGTCTATGAATTTATAGAGAATGGCAATTTAAGTGAACATTTACATGGAGGTGAGATAAGATATGCATGCCAAGACTTTATCTAGCAGTAGTGCTTTTAAATAATGCTGGTGGTTAAATTTATGTTTGCAGGTTTAGTTAGTTGATTGGTTTTGTTTCTTGGTTATGCTTTCTTTTGCTAGCTTATTGCTGGGGCATTTTTGTATTATTTGCATCATCTTGATGCTGCCTTAATGAAGTAAGTTTATTTATCAAAAAAAAAAATTTATGTTTGTAGGGAGGGACCCCTGCCATGGTCTACAAGGGTGCAAATTGCCCTTGATTCAGCGAGAGGACTTGAATATATTCATGAGCATACTGTTCCTGTCTATATCCATCGTGATATCAAATCAGCAAATATACTGATAGACAAAAACTATCGCGGCAAGGTTGTGTTGATGCTCTTTTCTTTGCAGTCCTATAGTCGTTGTCGACCATGTGATGGTCATCATAATTGTGGTAAATATGTCTTTTCCAGGTTGCAAATTTTGGTTTAACAAAGCTGGCTGAAGTAGGGAGTACTTCGCTGCCCACACGTCTTGTGGGTACATTTGGATACATGCCACCAGAGTAAGATAACTTCTTTATTTACTTATATATAAAAGAAAATCAATGTCAGCAATTAATCATATAATTGGGTGACGTCATTCCAACTCTCACCCAATCCATAGATTCATGGTCAACCTTTTCTTATAGAGCCTGAAATTTATCATTGGGTGGTACTATCTGACTTTAACCACATATTTGGAAATCATTGTCTGGAACCTCCCAATGAAACTTGACGAAGAAGCCATAAATAGCTTTTGGAATGTTTATGTCAAAAATGCTCTCATGAAAGCCTGGTTCAGAAACTTTTTGGCTAAAAATTACGGATGATTGGTGCATCAAAACCAATCATCTTATAATCCATGGAGCAGCAGATGCGACATTCCCTTGATGTGAATCTTTTAAAGGTCTGGGCACAAATATATGGCTCATACTTGTGTATTATTCTCGAGTCAGTAATAGTAATGCCTTCTATTCCAACTATATGGGGTCTGCTTTACAAATTCTTTTCACAATTCTGATATATCTAAGGCAACACTTTTCTTCAATCTAGACTCTAATTTTTTTCCCTTTCAGCTTTATCCAAAGCCATACCTCCTCACCTTCCTGCCTCTACCTTGGTTATTTTGGTTCTTGTCCTGTCTTATAAGTTCATTCGGCTTGAATTAAATTATTGTCTCGTATCATGCCAAATTTTGGGTTATTATTATTTTTTTTGGATTCTAACTCTTGGCATTTGATCATGATTGTGAATTCATCTCAAATGTCACAAACTAGTTTCTTTTTATGTTATTTGATTTGAATTATCTTATTTTTACTTATCAAAATAATTGAACTTTATTTTGTAGATTGATTTAGCAATGTTTGGTGGTGAAATATTGTGCCAGGTACAGCTAATTTATTGTTTATTATTCTCTTGTTATGCTAAGAAATTATTTGAAATTCTTTTTCCCGTGTTACTGTTGCCGCTTGGGATATTTTTCTTTTCTTTTTTACTGCCAAGGCTTGCTCTATAATCTTTTATTTATTTCTTTATTTCTTTATTTGGCATTTGTCAATACATAATTTGATGAGATGAAAATGTTAATGATTTGATGGATTTATTTTTCAATGGACATTAGCATATCTATTTTAGCTATTAAAAGCTAACTTCTGCATTTCCACATTCTCTTAGATTTGAGAGCTTTGCTGCATCTGGCTGTGTTCATGACTTGTATATTTCTATTGTTGTCATTTTAATGCTTTTCATGTTTCTTGTCTAATATTTTGACAAATGTTAATTCTTATTAACTGCAGGGGATCCCCAAAATTGAGCCCAACAGTGATCTTCAGCATGTTGTTGAGGTACACTTTTGTATGTTAAAATAGTTCTTCAAGTTAAAATTGAAATTCTGTTCAAGTTGGGGTTTTTTTCACTAGACAGTTTGTTGAATTCTTTTTTAACGTCTAATTTTCTATTTTGAAGATCAAGACTCCTTAGCAAATTGAGAGAATGAGGGAAACTTGCTGAGTAAGTTCTTAGCATCCTCTCTTTCTCAAAAATGAAAAGGAAATTTTAAAAGTTCCATTTGCATGAGGTAAACCTCTGTCTTATTATATGGTTTGTTCATGGCTTTTATCATTACCTTATCCAAAATTGCCTTCTGCTTTTGCTAATTGGTCTCTTTCAATGTGCAAGTGTATTTGCAGTAGTGGATAGGAAAGAATGAATTTGATGTGAACAGTAGACTAGGAAGGCTAATCAAGATTTGCATTGTGGATAGGAAAGAAGGAATTGACAATGATTGGTGGCAATGAAGATAATGATATGCTGCCTTAATGAAGTAAGTTTATTTATCAAAAAAAAAAATTTATGTTTGTAGGGAGGGACCCCTGCCATGGTCTACAAGGGTGCAAATTGCCCTTGATTCAGCGAGAGGACTTGAATATATTCATGAGCATACTGTTCCTGTCTATATCCATCGTGATATCAAATCAGCAAATATACTGATAGACAAAAACTATCGCGGCAAGGTTGTGTTGATGCTCTTTTCTTTGCAGTCCTATAGTCGTTGTCGACCATGTGATGGTCATCATAATTGTGGCAAATATGTCTTTTCCAGGTTGCAGATTTTGGTTTAACAAAGCTGGCTGAAGTAGGGAGTACTTCGTTGCCCACACGTCTTGTGGGTACATTTGGATACATGCCACCAGAGTAAGATAACTTCTTTATTTACTTATATATAAAAGAAAATCAATGACAACAATTAATCATGGAATTGGGTGTTGTCATTCCAACTCTCACCCAATCCATAGATTCATGGTCAACCTTTTCTTATAGAGCCTGAAATTTATCATTGGGTGGTACTATCTGACTTTAACCACATATTTGGAAATCATTGTCTGGAACCTCCCAATGAAACTTGACGAAGGAGCCATAAATAGCTTTTGGAATGTTTATGTCAAAAATGCTCTCATGAAAGCCTGGTTCAGAAACTTTTTGGCTAAAAATTACGGATGATTGGTGCATCAAAACCAATCATCTTATAATCCATGGAGCAGCAGATGCGACATTCCCTTGATGTGAATCTTTTAAAGGTCTGGGCACAAATACATGGCTCATACTTGTGTATTAATCTCAAGTCAGTAATAGTAATGCCTTCTATTCCAACTATATGGGGTCTGCTTTACAAATTCTTTTCACAATTCTGATATATCTAAGGCAACACTTTTCTTCAATCTAGACTCTAATTTTTTTCCCTTTCAGCTTTATCCAAAGCCATACCTCCTCACCTTCCTGCCTCAACCTTGGTTATTTTGGTTCTTGTCCTGTCTTATAAGTTCATTCGGCTTGAATTAAATCACTTCTTGCCTGTGCTGCCACTGATCTTGGATTCACATGACCACTATTTTTTCCTTTCAGTTTAGATGACTTGCTTTCTGTATTTAATGAGGTTTGTTCATTGCAGAAGAGAAGAGAGTAACTTAGGGTTCTCTCGCTCATTCTATGCTTCTTGTATTGAAAGAAATAGGTTTTGGTTGTGTTTATTCTTCTGTCAAAAACATGGATCAATTTTCTACCATGCTTGTTTGCAGATATGCTCAATATGGTGATGTTTCTCCTAAAATAGATGTATATGCTTTTGGAGTCGTCCTCTATGAACTTATTTCAGCCAAGGAAGCCATAGTCAAGGCAAGTGAATCTATGCCTGAATCAAGGGGCCTCGTTGGTTTGGTAAGTCTGTGCCCTATTTTGCCAATTATTTAAGAATTAATAGGTGTGATGACATGTCAGACATGATTAAGCATTCATTCATGATATCCAATGTGTTCTCGTAACTAATTATCGTTGTGACTGTGATACTTTATAGTTTGATGAAGTTCTTACTCAGCCTGATCCGGGAGTTGACCTTCCCAAGCTAGTTGACCCTAGGCTTGGAGATAACTACCCCCTTGATTCAGTTCGCAAGGTGAATTTTTTTTTTTTCCCTCCCTTTGAAAGCCATAATTAATTGGTTTTGTTGATGAATTTTTGGTGGCCAATTTGCTTGTAGATGGCTCAGCTTGCTAAAGCTTGCACGCAAGAGAATCCTCAACTCCGGCCCAGCATGAGGTCTATTGTGGTGGCGCTAATGACTCTTTCGTCCACGACAGAAGATTGGGATATTGGGGCATTCTATGAAAACCAAACTCTAGTGAATCTAATGTCTGGGAGGTAGAGGAAGTGCCCGGTTGTGCTCATAGAGTTGTTAACCAAATCAAACCAAACCAAACTAAATCAAACCTTAAGTCGCATCAAATGGGATCGGTTACATAAATTTTTTTTTCCAGTTGATTTTATTGAAGGTCATATCGTTAGTCAAATTAAAAAGATTTATATTTTTATTTACTATACTAGTTCATGTCAATTTAGGTCTGCCATTTTTCCTAACTCTTTCGTCTACTGTGAATGATAGTTTGAAGATTTTAGAGGTGCACAAATAATTTGTAAACGTGTGATTTTTGTTTGTATGTATTATATTCATTGGTACATGAGAGGGCATGTAAGGAACGGAGAAGATAAACCTTAATTTGTTGTAATGTTAAAATTCTAAAGTATGTTATAGAGGAGTTGCCAAGATCTTTCATTTTCTTTAGTTATTTTAACTAGTTTCCTTTATGTTGTCTCTCTTTAGCCACCTACATGTAAAAAGCTAATTTACATTAGTTAGAAAAAAATAGAAAAATAAAACTAGTAGATTCTCCAAAAACTAATTTACATTAGTTAAAAAAAATATAAAAAATTAAAACTAATATATTCTCCACTTCCTTGTCCTCTCTCTCTCTCTCTCTCTGTCTCTCTCT